CTGAATCGGGATTTGCTAAGGAGATTTGCTCGAGATATGATGGCAGATGCGAATACCCATCTTTTGCTGTTCCTCTCACCAATGTTTGTGCATATAATAGTGCATGTATGAAGTGGTGTAATCAAGCTCCATGCCAAACATGTTCTTCATTGCATCTTTGATATGCTGCGGAGTCAACCCATCAATAATTCCAACACGATCAATGAAAAGCCTACCGACATACTTCAGAGTACAGTGTCTCCGCTGAGCGATTCGGTCTCCCACTGAGCATGTATGTGTTTCCACATATTTTGTTACCCAAAACGTGTTTGTACCATGTTTCACACTCGCTCTTATCTTCCATCCACAACCACTAACCCGACATGTTGACACGAGGATAGTTTTCGTTGACTTGTATATTTTGAAGGAGAACTTACACCTCACTGATGTCAACCGCAGCTCTGAAAGCAGTGCATCCTTGCTAACAAAACTCTTGTTGACATATATACCGTTACTATTTGATCGCCCTCCTTCAATAGCATATGTATCTTTGAAATCTTCAAAAACCACATCACCATCTTCTTCCTCATCCTCATCTCTAACCTTTCCATAAACACTATAATCCTCACCATTCTCGTCCGCTTCAGCAACATTAGAGCAAACAGAAATTTCAGCATCCTCCTCCTTATCATCCTCCTCCCCATCATGATTTTCATCTCCAACAAACTCATTATCACCTTCATCTTCAAAATATTCATCAGCTTCTTCCCTTTCCTCTGAAACCGTTCCCACCTTGCTACGGCTTGATACACAAAGACATACTCTATGAGTTTTGAGTATCTCGAGCAAGTTATGAACTTGTCTATCACTTGTAACATGAATGGGAGGGGTGTCTGGAGCCATCATCATTTCTGCTGGTAATGAGTATCTAATCTCCACAGTGAGTGTGCTCATGTCCAAGTTATAATCTTCTTGTGCCATTGCAACAAGTTCAGCATGTGTTGAATCTTCATTCAATAAAAACAATCTTGCTCCTTTGAGATCATCAACCACAAAATCCCAACGGCAATCTTTCAACAACCATTCTCCATACACTGCATGTAACTGACGAATCATCTGCAAAATTCAAAATAAAACACATTAGTAAACATAGAGAATT